TATGTGCAAAATTACTAGTGTATATATATCTAGTGTATATATGCAAACAAAGAAGAATTAATAATTTTAATAGCAAATAAGTTTTATGACTTGCACTTAAAAGATGAATGTGAATGTTTATTAAAAAGTAGGTGCAGTCATCTTAATTAGCAGCTAGTAAAATGAAGATTCAACCAAGACGTTGTGTTACTATAGTCAGCCACTCTAGAATTATGTAGCAGCCAGCTCGTATTACAAAGATTTATTTGGTTAATGTCAGATGAGAAAAATGACCTGGGAGTATTTTGTCTAAGGTAATTAGAAGCATCATATTGTATCTTCTAAAATCAGTGCAATTGCACTGTGAGATCAGACCGGTGCTCAACAGTATGAAGACAAGGAAAACACAGAGATGGTTTATGACATCTCTGTGGCCCTTTCCCCACCAGGTGCAAAAAGGCCAGTCCTGAGAATCTAGCCTAATGTTTATTATGTCATTTTCAGTTGTTAAAATGAGAGACCCAGATTCTCTCTGGGCCAGCAGAAGGAGGTGTAAATTGTCCTTACTCAGTGTTATGCTATAACATTAGTTTCTTTGGAGAGCTCTTGACATAAAGGAGAATCACCTTCTGGCCTATGAACCCCTTCCAACATTTTTTATTAATCTTTTAAATGAAATGAATAATCACATTAATACCTAGCCAGAGCAAACATTCAAGGGCTGAGCAAGACGAGTCTTTGGCAGTGTTCTGTGGGTGCTGGAATGGCTGAGGAGGGAAAGGAAGCAACTTCTCTGCAGGGCTGTTATTCTAGGTTAGGGAAGTGGCATGTTAAGAGGAGGCGAACAGACCTGGGGAGCAGTCTACATAACATGCTCCTCTTGGGATCTCATGGAAGCCTGAGTGGAAATCCACATGGGATAATCTCATTGTAGCCTGTGCCCTTCCTCTGAAGCAGGGATTATGGTGCAGGTGGCCACTGACAATGACAGCAGTGTCCTTCAAGGACTAATTTTGGCAAGGTCATGGAAACCAGTAGAGGGGCTAGGCATTGGGAGCTCTCATTTGGACTGTTCAGGCACATACATGCTTAGTAATATTCAGTCCTGGGGGAATTCTGCAATTTTACTCTGATTCCAAATGCAAAAATTGCAGAATTTCCCCCAGGGTTAAATACTCAAATATTAAAGTGCTAAGGAGTAAGATGTCCCTGCAACATTTTTCCTTATGGATATGGCTGACTCTACTGGCCACAATTTAACTTAGCCTCCCCTTTTTTCCCCCAATCCATGCCCATTAGAATGATGGGACTGTAAGAGAGGAGAGGACTAGAGCTGGGTGAAAAATGTCAAATGCAAAAAAGAGTCAGGAATTTTTCATGCAAATGTTCCCATTAAATGCAAATGTTCCCATTGTGTGTGTAGAGAAGACACCTATTTTCAGAAACATTCATTGCTTTTGCTGTCCCCTCCCTCAAAACACAATGGGAGTGATCAGTGCCCCCTGGAAAACAAACCCTTGTTGCCTCATGTTTGGGCAGAACTGAATTGAAGCCTCCATGATCAGGGGACAGTTGGCAATTCTAGCCAGTGTTATCTTCTCAAAGCTGCACAAGGAGTCTGGGGCAGAATCTGGATTCTGAGGGTTTCTTGCTTTCCAGTTTTGTGCTCTACCCATTTGCCCAGGCGAGCTCAAAATGACCTCTTAGCCAGAGTATCAGAGGGGTGGTGGTGTGAGTCTGAATCTGCAGCACACCTGGTTTGCAGGGAATTAGATCTAGTTTAAAAAAACCAACAGCAACAAGAACCCCGTGCCTCTGGATAAGAGACATAAACAACGGCAAGTCCTGTGGCACCTTATAGACTAACAGATTTATTGGAGCATAAGCTTTCGTGGGCAAAGACCATCTGACGAAGTGGGTCTTTGCCCATGAAAACTTATGCTCCAATAAATCTGTTAGTCTATAAGGTGCCACAGGACTTGCCGTTGTTTATGTCTCTTATCCAGAGGCACGGGGTTCTTGTTGCTGTTGGTTTTTTTAAACTAGATCTAATTCCCTGCAAACCAGGTGTGCTGTGAATTCCCCCCATTCTTAGCGAATAGCATTCGAAACTGTGGCATTCATAAGTAAGTCAGACTTAAATATCAAATAGTGCCATGTCCTATTTCCCCTCATCTCTCATACGGAGGCACAAGACATGTCACCTTAGTTGATCATCAAGCATTGCGGGCTCCTCCAATGTCTGCCTATCAGCTCTGCGCCCCGAGGGATCCTAAAAGTGAAGTTCTGTAGCCGTATTGCCTCTCTTCTAAACGAGAAGTCCCACCCGAACTAGAGAGGTTATCCACACACCTGGTAAAGTTATGCGCACAGCTGTATCTGCGGTGACCACCCCTTAAGTACAGATTAACAAGTACGAGTGTGTGTATATGGCTCGCTGGGCCTAATTACAAACCTAATGTATTTGGGAATGCTCAAAAATCATTTGAGGCAATGACCTGCATTTGCAGGACACCAGTACAAACTAATCTGAAAGCTGCTTTCCCGTCATTAAAATTATCGTGTGAGGAGAGGCTAGAAATCATGTCAAGTGACAACATGAGCTTCCCAGTATTGCCATCTTCTCAGGAAAGCACAAGTGAAAGCTGTCAATCATGAAACTCTGTTTATGATCCCTGGTCAGAAGTTGTCTCCTACTCTGCCGAATGCATGGGATGTTTACTGGCTATTAACCTATGTGTTTCCGATCTGTCAGTCTGATACTATTTTTGTTTCAGATTGTTCCCAGCGATATTTTTCTCATTTCATTCTCTTCTTCAGATCCAGTCTTTGCTTTTTTTTATCAAGCGCAACTGTACCGTTATTTTTTATCGTGATTGAAATAGTTTGTTGCACTGCAATTTCCTGTAATGCAACTTGAAGAAAGATAGCGCAGCGCTTCTGTGTTTGGAGGGAAATAGAGCTCTGCCATCAGATTTCAGGGCACTGGGACCGACTGTCCTCTTGGTTTCAGGGCTTTGTCTGACATGGCATGAATGGTCTGGGGAGAATGGCCGCTTTGAAATGTTTGAGTGGGACCCGTGCTCGGCACACAATTGTAAAACAATACGCCTCAAGTCACCTGCACCGCCACACTGCTGTCTACCGACAGCTCCTCGTTTTTTAAAAAAGTTACTTTATTGATCGCTCGCCTGCCTGTCGATTGGCCTTCCCGGAATGGCATGATCATTGATGACCGAACTATCATTTGACACAGTGTAAGGGAATTACCTGTTGCGCGCGCGCTCTTATACTCGCTTCATTTGGCAGCACGGGACATACTTTGCCATTTACTTTGATTGCAGAAAATACATAACTCAATAGAAAGAGCGTTACCTGTATCTTGAAGATGCCAGGCATGTATGTTTCCCCACGCCTCTCACCAGATTTGCATGCATTTGTTTTCCTTTGTAATTCAGGCAGCAGCTAATTTGTTCATTTCATTCAAACGGTTACTAAAAAAAAACATTGCCATCTAATAGGGAGCCAAATCATTGTAACTTCAAATCGGACCGTGATAAACTGCAACGTGGGGAATTTGTAATGTATTGTGATCTGCATGCCAATAAATCCCAGAAGTCCCCGAAATATAAGACACAAAAAGCACGTGTTGGGACTGGTTCTGCTTAACTCCAAGCGAACCACCTTTGCACCTCTCGCTGCCACTTGCCAGGGCCCCAGGAAAGGCAATTAGATGCAAAGCTACTCCCTCCCCCACCCCTGACAAGTTCCTCCAGGAACCGAAGCGGAGCGAGGATGAGATCTGCGGAGAAGCCACCTTCCAGCTGCCTTTGGCGAGCCCTTCCCAGAGCAGGTGTCTGGCGCCTGGCAAGCCCAGGTGTGTGAGAGCCGCGATCCTCGCCAGCCCGACGCCGCGCACCTGCAGGTGGCGACAAATGCCCTTCCCCTGTGGAGCTGTCCCGGGTGCTGAAGGCAGAAAGTGAAGCGAGTGACTCCGGCAGCGGCTGGAGAGTTTCAGCCGAGTCTCGGGAACGCT